ATCAAGTTCATGACATATGTAAAAGCCAAACAAATGCATAATAGCAGTAGCACAAAGTTCAAGAGGGGAGAAAAGGAAATATGCTTTTATTGCAGCTGAAACTATACAATACTGCTTGAAGATAGGATCTATATAATCTAGTATAAAGCAACAACTAAAACAAGAGTGAAAGGATGAAAATTTTCTGCATGAAACCAAATATATTTTCATTTCATTTTCCACAAACTTTCTGAAGTACTCTTGTATTGATTCTACTCCAACACTACAAATCTCATTTAGCCGTTCTATTCTTCAACACTGAGAAATCCAGCAGTCAGCATCTGCAAAATACCTACTTAATTGTTCACTTACTGTAAAAAGCAGCTTCAGAGGCCAGTGTTGAGGTATAGTGGGTTAAGCTGCCACCTGCAACAACTGGTATCCCATATGGATGCTGGTTCAAGTCTCAGCTGCTCCAATTTTAATCAGCTCACGCTAATGTGCCTGGGAAAGCAGTGCAGGATAGCCCAAATGCTTGGATACCTGCAACCACTTGGGAAACATGGAAGAAGCTCCTTGCTTCAGCCTGGTCCAGCCTTGGCCTTTATGGCCATTTGGGGATAGAAAATGGCTTGCTGTTTATCGCTGTTTCCCCTCCGTCCCTCTTTCCTTCCCTCCCTCCGCAACTCTGCCTTCCAAATAAATAAAATAAATCTTAAAAAAATGTAGCTTCAGACTCCTCAAACATACTCCTACAATAAATATATTTACTAAAAGATTACATGATGCTTGTATAGTTCATTTTCTCTTTAGGATAATGTTATCTAATCAAGATACTGTTTTCTACAACTTAGGTTATCATTTTCTATCCCCCTTTGGTATGAATTTTGCCATTCATTTTTGGGTTGCCCCACATCCTGGTTAGTGATGACTGCTTTTCTGTAGCATATGTGAAATATTTCTGTATTACTTGTACCATGCAATAAAATAAGGCTATGCAAACCATCACTAAAATTTCATTCACACTATATGGATCTTACTCCCTTCTTTCCATCTGTTTCCCACCACCTCCCCATAGTCTCCATTCTCTTTCACTTTTGGTTTCTCCTTCCTGTGTATATATTCAAAAAATGAGCATACATATGTTTCTTATATGTCACTCTTAATTACATAAAAGGTAGCACATAATAAATACTCTTGTATTTTTTGTTCACTTAAAAAAATATAATGGAAACCAATAAAATTAGTTCAGAGAGATTATCTTTCACTTTTATTTCTTGAGAGGCAGAGGAAGAGAGAGAAGGTAAACGTGAAGCCACCTCCCCAGTTTACTAGCTCACTCCTCAAATGGTCACAATGGCTGGGACTGAACTAGCCAAAGCCAGTAGCCTGAATTTTAGTATAGGTCTCCCAAATGGGTAGCAGGAACTCAATTAATTGGGTCATTACCACTGCCTCCTAGGGTCTGCACTGTCAGGAAGCTGGAGTCAGATTGCTGCAGCCAGTATCAAACCCAGGCACTTGAGGCTGGCGCTGTGACATACCTGTTTGAGCCATCACCTGCAGGTCCAGCTTCCCACATGGTTGGCGGTTCAAGTCCCAAATGCCCCACTTTCAATACAGCTCCCTGCTAATGTGCCTGGAAAACCAGCTTGGGCCACTACAATCATGTGGATCGAGAAGCTCCTGGCTCCTGGCTTCAACCTGACCCAGCCCCAGTTGTTGCAGCCACTTGGGGAGTGAACCAGCAGTTGGTATACACTCACTCTCTCTCTCTCTCTCTCTCTCTCCCCCCTCCCTCTCCCTCTCCCTCTCGCTGTAACTCTGCTTTTCAAAATAAATAAATCTTAAAAAAAACAGAAAAGTAACAACAACAACAAAAAAGGCACTCTGATATGGGCTATGGTTACACTAAATGCCCACGTCAACACCACTTCACTGGTCTTACAACTATACAATACTCCATTTTGTGATGTAGCATAGTTTATTCAATTACACATTTTTGTATTGTTGGAGGCATATTCAGAATGGTTTCTAAAAGAATCAAAATATAAATGTAATTATAATTTATTAGGTATCACTAAATTTCCCTCCAGGAGCAAAATACGAGAATACCTGTTATTACATGTTCAACATTTTGATAGTGAGACAAATCTTCCTTTCTTAGGGGTAAAGCTGTAACTAACTGCTCCATGCTGTGCCTATCTAATAAAGAAGGAACACAACAAGACAAAAACCAGAGGAATCACAAATAAAGGATTTGCACCCATGTAAATTCTGAATGACTGAATCTACAGGAGAGGTAAAGGTTTGGCAATGCTGCCACTGGTTCCCTTCTAAACTTCTACCTGCTCCAAATATTCCATCCAATTTCAAGACATTTAGGGCCACTTAATACTAATGCCTAGAGAAAGTCAAAAGAAATGTAGGTCTCTCAAGACCCTGAGATCCTTCTGCCACTGAGCTCTAAATATCACTACATAAAAGGGATGGCTCTTAATGATCTATCACAGTCTTTTTACTTTTTGAAGATTTATTTTTTTTTTTATTTTGGAAGAGTTACAGAGAGAGAAGGGGAGAGAGAGAGATTGATTTTCCATTTGCTGGTTAACTCCATATATGGTCCCAACAGCCAGTGCTAGGCCAGGCAGAAGCCAAGAGCTTCTTCCAGGTCTCCCATATGGGTCACAAGGGCCCAAACACTTAGGACATCTTCCCCTGCTTTTCCCAGGCCATTAGCAGGGAGCAGGATTGGAAGTGGAGCAGCTGGGACTTGAACCAGCAACCATATGGGATGCTAGTGTCCCAGGTGGTGGATTTACTCATTATGCCACAATACCAGTCTCATGATCTATCACAGTCTTACTTTGATAATCTAAGTATGTATAAACTATGATGCATTATATTGCTCAAAATTTGATAACATGCCCATAAATTTAATGTCAAATTCCCCAAACATGCAGTCTGACTTTATTCTTGTAAATCATATCATTTTGATAATCTGAGTAAATTTTCATAACTTGAATCTTACTGAAGGCCATTAGTTTCTATATTCAAAAAGGAAGGTCTTTGAAAGAGCTGTCCCACTTCTCCCAAATATGCCCATCAAAAACCAAAGGAAAGCTGTAAAAAGCACAGAAATACAACTTCACAAGAGTTGGTTTCTTTATAGATGGAAGTAACTGCTGTCTTTTTGTAATGGTTTCAGATTTAAATGAAAATTATAATGAAAAGTCTTAAAAAATGCCAAGCTGTGTGCACATTACTTGATACCAAAAAGAGTAGCTGAATTGCAAACTGGACTAAAAAGAAGTATTTAAATCAATGATTAATTTATCAAAATGTGAACTAAAGATGAGTCAAATCTTGGGTATCTTATTTTAAACCATTATTAAACAGTTTCATCTTGGGGCCAGCGTTGTGCGTTAAGCCACCGCCTGTAGCTCCAGCAGCTCCACTTCCAATCCAATGTCTGCTAATGTGCCTGGGAAAGCAGCAGAAAATGGCCCAACTCCTTGGGCCCCTGCACCCACATAAGAGATCCAGAAGAAGCTCCTGGCTCCTGGCTTCAGCCTGGCCCAGCCCCAGTCATTGCAGCTATCTGGGAAGTGAACCAGCTGATGGAAGATCTCTCTGTCTCTTCCTCTGTCTCTCTGTACCGCTGCCATCCCAGCAAATAAAATACTGTCTTAATGGATAAGTAATCGTGGATATATAAGCATAGTATTACCCATTTGTAAAAATTTAAATTTCTGATTTAAGTGTAAAATGTTTAGTTTAAAGATTAAGGGGCCAAGCCGGCGCCGTGGCTCAATAGGCTAATCCTCCACCTTGCGGCACCGGCACACCGGGTTCTAGTCCCGGTTGGGGCGCCGGATTCTGTCCCGGCTGCCCCTCTTCCAGGCCAGCTCTCTGCTATGGCCAGGGAGTGCAGTGGAGGATGGCCCAGGTGCTTGGGCCCTGCACCCCATGGGAGACCAGGAAAAGCACCTGGCTCCTGGCTCCTGCCATCGGATCAGCGCGGTGCGCCGGCTGCAGCGGCGGCCATTGGAGGGTGAACCAACGGCAAAAGGAAGACCTTTCTCTCTGTCTCTCTCTCTCACTGTCCACTCTGCCTGTAAAAAAAAAAAAAAAAAAAGATTAAGGGGCCAGCACTGTGGCATAATGGGAAAATTCGCCACCTGCAGTGCCAGCATCTCATATGGGCACTGGTTTGAGTCTTGGCTGCTCCACTTCCAATCTAGCTCTCTGCTATGGCCTGGGAAAGCAGTAGAGGATGGCCCAAGTCCTTGGGCCCCTGCACCCACATGGGAGACCCGAAAGAAACTCTTCTGGCTTCAGACTGGCTTAGCTCCAGTTGTTGTAGCCTTTTGAGGAGTGAATCAGCAGATGCAGAACTCTCTCTTCTCTTTCTCTCTCTCTCTCTCTCTCTACCTCTGTCTCTCTGGAACTCTGCCTTTCAAATAAATATTTTTTTAAAAAAAGTAAAGACTAAAGGGCCTGGAGTTGTGGCACGAGTTAAACTGCTGCCTAAGATGCATTCTATATGAGAAATGGTTCAAGTTCTGGCTGCTCCACTTCCAATCCAGCTCCCTGCTAATGCACCTGGGAACTGTAGCAGACTATGACCCAAATCCTTGGACCCCTGCAACCACATGGGAGACCTAGATGTAGTTAAAGACTCCTGGCTTCAGCCAGGCCCAGTCCCAGCTCTTGTGAACATTTGTGGAGTGACCTAGCACACAGATGGCATCTCTGTGTCTCTATATGACTCTCCATCTTCTCTCTACGTCTGCCTTTCAAATAAATAAATAAGTTCTTAATAAAAAAGAAAAGATTAAACTTATTGAGTAGCTTAACATTTTATATTCTAATGGTTTGCACAAATTATTCCTGATGTAAATAATTTCCTATTTGAGGGGTTTTACTTCACTAATTATTTGATTTATTGCAACTAAATCTTTGATAATGAAAGTAAATGTTACAAAACTGTTGTTTAAATATTTGTTTATTCTACTCACTTCTGTGCTCCCTGAGACAACAGCTTTGTCCACATTCACTAATAATGCTTCCTCCATCTGGCATACTCCCAGTGACCACTCCACACAACGGTGATGAGCCCAGCAAGTGCCTAAAATGGAAAACATTAGAGAGAGCAAACCAATAAACATTAAAGGCCTTAACCATGAGGCAGGCATTTGTACTATCATTAAGACACTGCTTGAGACAGCTGCATTCCATATCAGATTCCTGGGTTCAAGTCTTGGTTCCACTTCTGACTCCAGTTTCCTGGTCATGTGTACCCTGGGAGACAGCAGGTGATATCCCAAGTAGTTGGGTCCCAATCACTCACAGGGAACACCCAGATTGAATTCTGGGCTCCTGGCTTTAGCCTGGCATAACCCTGATTGTTGCAGACAGTTAGAGAGAGAACAATGGATGGGAGATTCTCTCTGCCTGCCTATATCTGCCTTTCAGACACATAAATATATGTATATTTAAATTAATCAAATGTGGGCAGGCCTTGTAGCACAGCAGGTTAAACCACACTTGAGACAGCTGTATCCCATATTGCAGCACCAGCTCAAGTCCAAGCAACTAAGCACTTCCACTCCAGCTTCCTGCTAATATGCCTGGAAGGTAGCAAATGATGGACAAAGTACTTGTGTTCTTTTTAAAAAATATATTTATTTATTTATTTGAAAGTCAGAGTTAGAGAGAGAGAGAGATCTTCTATCTGTTGGTTCACTGTGCAAATGACCATCAATGACCAGGGCTGAGCCAGGTTGAAGCAAGAAGCCAGGAGCTTCTTCCAGGTCTCCCTTGTGGATCCAGGGGCCCAAGAACTTCGGTAATCCTCTGCCCCCCAGGTGCACTGGCAGTAGCCAGGACCCAAACCAGTGCCCGTATGGGATGCTAGCACTGCAATAGCAGCTTAACCCACGGCGCCACAGTGCCGGCCGCAGTATTTACGTTCTTGTCTCCCATGTGGAAACCTGGATGGAATTTTTGGGTCACAGCTTTGGCCTGACCCAGCTCTGGCTGTTCTGTGCAATCAAGGATTGAACCAATATATGGAAGATTTCTCTGTGTCTCTACCTCTCTGTCAAGTTTCTTTCAAATAAATAAATAAATAATACTTTTAAGAAGTATTAACTAAATAAAGACATAAAAATTTCAAGCTGAACTCCAACTTGTGAAATACACAATGATATTCCCACTAAAGCAGATCTTCACAAACTGTGGTCCAGTCCATTACCTGACACCGATATCAATCTGGGATTCAAAGTGCAGAATCTCAGATCACAACTGAAACATATTAAAACAGAATTTCTTCCAGGCAGACCAGAAATCTCTTTTAACAAGCCTTCCAGGTAATTCAGACACACATGAAATTTTGAGTCACTAACTTAGTGATTACTTCTTCCAATAAAATCATTTTAGTTTTATTTAAATAATACTTGAAGATATTTTATCTTTATAATAAAGATGAAAAGACACTACCACTCTGCCAGCCCCATCTCACAGTAATTGCACACATCACTCATCAATTCTAGCCCAAGCTTTAAATTCTCCATCACATAGCAGATTAACCACTATCAGTCAATCTGTAGTTCAATTGTAGAATGAGGTTTACTTAAAATCCCTACAGCATCACAACTATATTGTTAAAAAAGAACCCACATGGCTTAGGTCTATTGTCCTTTATGCCCATATTAATTGGACTCAGACTGCCATCTTCCCCAAGTTCTCACATATCCCTTTAAAACTGTCTCTTTCCGAAAATGTCAGATCCCCTGGCATTGATATCTACACAACAGTAAATGCAAATATTTGTAAAATCATTTGGTCTAGTGCTGGCACTATGCAGGTTTTAAATAAATTAGGTAAGTATTAATTTAGACAATTTATTTTATCTAACCAGGCATACTTAACATCATTTTCAATAATATGATCCTAATTATTTCTAGAAAACATTCCCTGTAAGAAAAGCTGATAACACACTAAGATTTAAATGCTTCCAGAATCAAGAGTCAGTTGTCATTGAAGAGCCGATCATACCTGTAGGATCAAATAAGGCTTGGATATCAATGGCATCTGGAAGGCCAACCAGACTGAGTTCATCCCATAATCTGCCAGCCTGGTCATCTGAAGCTGTCTGGGTGCTCACACTTACACAAGACACTGCATTCTGCGGAGGAGATCGTTCTCTGAAAATGAAATTGAAAAGCTGTGAAAGTGATAACAAGTAGAAAATCATATCATTTTATAAATATGTAAGTAAAATGCACTGCCAAATAAATTATTAATTCTGTTATTATTGGTCAGAGTTACAAATCTAAATTGGGTTGCTATAATATATTATGTAAGCAACAACTAAGAAAAGTCCCCAAACTTACAATCATTAAACTTACTATTACAAATTTAAATCTGCATTCTCTAATATAAGTTTTTTAAAAACTCACTCTCATCGAATGCCATGTCAGAAATCACATTTTAACAGTAGGTCAGAAATCAGGGGCCAGCGCTGTGGCGCAGCAGGATAACGCCCTGGCCTGAAGTGCTGGCATCCCATATGAGCGCCAGTTCTAGTCCCGGCTGCTCCTCTTCCGATCCAGCTCTCTGCCATGGCCTGGGAAAGCAATAGAAGATTGCCCAAATCCTTGGGCCCCTGCACCCACTTGGGAGACCCGGAAGAAGCTCCTGGCTTTGGATCGGTGCAGCTCCAGCCACTGCGGCCATCTGGGGAGTGAACCAGTGGATAGAAGACCTCTCTCTGTGCCTCTACCCCTCTGTAACTCTGACTTTCAAATAAATTAAATAAATCTTTAAAACAAAAAAGAAATCAGAAGCAAAATGCAAAAACAAAATAGTCACTAAATGCTTTGGGAGTAAGGAGATAGCATATTAGCAAAAAACTATAGTATGTACCTGCTTAAAATTTAAATAAGGTGTATAACCTATGGGAGATTTCAGAATTTTAAGCCCTAACACTTTGGGTATTAATTAAGATCATTAAATAAATAGGCAACCAGGTCTATAACATTAAATATGGGAAATCAGATGACTACCACTAAAGCTTGAATCTCCTCCTAATATCATAGTATTTAACCTGATCATAAGTCTGGATTAAACCACTATTGAATATAGATCATAACTCACTGCACTTCTGTTTGCTGGATATTTATCATGATTCCTATTAACAGAAAATCAGCACAATGACCAGGGTACTAAACTTTTTTATACCTGGAATCATTGAAAGAAAAAAAGTATTAACATATTTCAGTAAGTACAACTAAATATCAAACTATAAAAATGTAACTAGTAATTGTTAATGTTCAGCATTAGAAATGCAGACTTGTTCGAACAGTTCAGCATACTAACCTTAGAATCTCATTTATAAATGTCCACATAAAATGAGAACAAGTTCTTTTCTATAAACATAATCTCCACTCTTATAAATATTTTATTATTAATCATTACTATTTTCTGAGGAAAAAAATAGCAGTTAATCTATAAATACTAAAGGATCTTAGCTTTTGGGAGATACTACTATTTGATAGGGAGGTGGGATGTAAAAACCAGTAGAATGACTATCCAGTCCATTACTAAGCAGCTTCTAACCAGCATCTTAATCAAATTCAACCTTCAGAGTCTGAGATAAGTTTGTATGACTATATCATACATCAGTAAGATGCCAATGTCAATCCTACAATGACAGCAGCTCAATTTTGGAAAGATAATCAAGAATTCAGCTGAAACACATACCCCTGAAATTTTAAGTTATAAAAGAAACAGGGAAAGAATCCTTAATTACATCTTTTTATATTTGGTATAAACAAGAGGGGAAAATCATTTTAAAACTTTTTTTGTCACATTTTATAAAATTAACTGAGTGCTTATACTTCATTAATAACATATCTATAGATATTTAAACTCATTACTAAGCTAAATTATCTACCCCTAAATGACTGCTAAATTTTGAAAGTATACTTCATTAATGGGCTTGTTATCATTACTTAGTAAACATGGTACACATAAAGACTTTAATAAACGAAGTGCACATAGACTTTGATTAAACCAACACAATTTTTATATATTTATATGAGCTCGTGAAAGTTTTCAGTAAAATTTAACATCAGTTATAAAATAAGTAAATGAAGCTTGATTTTATTCCTCAAGACAGGATTTTATATCCAAGGCAAAACACAAAACTGTAGCATATAGCCCAGCTTGGTCTATTAAATTTGCTAATTAGTGACAGACATTTTAAGTTTTCAAGGCTTTTGATATATTTTATCAACATGTGAGCACTCAGCTGATAACAGATAAGGATCTTATATATGATTTAGCTACAGCCTTCAAAACATCAAGAATTTCCAAATATAGTGCTTCCAAGCTTCCTTAAACTATTCCACCTTAAATTCTTTTACAAGATTCTCTTTCTTGTTACTGTTTCATTCCTTATTCAGGTCATCAAGACATTGGCAGCATTTCAAAATAAGGAGCCAATCAAATAAGAACACAATAATGCTTTAGTATTTAAACCTGGATATAAGCCAGATAAGCACTTGGATGATTATATCATTACCCTCAAGGGGCAGGGCTGGTTAGCCTTCCAAGCTAAATTAATTTTTAGACTCTCAACAACTGCAGAAACTTCTACTTCCTTAACACGCAAAGCAAATCCACATATTAAGAAGACCTTTAAACATAAATGCATAAACACTTTTAAAAATACTGAACAAGTTTTAGGTGGCTACAGTAGCCCCATATACACGGATATACACAGTTGTAAAAATATCTTAGAAATCCTTATTTTATGTTTTAAAAAGCAGCTTCTTTACATTTAGAAAGGGCATTCAAAGGGGGTGCATAGGGAGGGGAAGTAGGAGGAAGAATGGGAGGGAAAGGGAGAAATAAGGCAAGCACGCACTGCAACAGGAGAATTTACCACCTTTAATGATTGCTCATCATTCTCTGAAATACATACACATATGTGTAAATTAAATAAACTGAACAATAGTGAAAAAAAACACTACTTCATTATTGTGCTATGTTCTTACACACAATTAAAAACCTATTTTGAGGCAGGAAAGAAGGGCTCCATTGATTTGTCTTCTTTCTTTTTATAAATTCTATGAATTCCCATCAGCTATGGTGTGCTCTTTAAAGTTTTCTACCAAAGGTTAACTTTCATGATCACATGAACAAAATTAAGGTTACAAACATTTTTAAATATTAATTTTTGGGGAAAAGTCTGTTGGATTAATGGCAAATCAAAAAAATCCTATGAATGTGAAAAACATGAAAAACTGTTCAACAGAGACAACCTCAACTTATACATTTATAAACATTACAATGAAAGTGAATTATATAGAGACTCATTCTTTCCAACAATGTAAATTCAAAACTGCTTACTTTCGCTGTCCTCTTTGTTTTCGTGGTGCTGAATTTGGTATTTTCTCACAGGCTCCATTGCTGTTGTCATCAATGTCTTTCTTGTTGGAAGGCTGGTTTTTCCAAGGCAAGATAAATCCAGGTGTTACTCGGAACTGTTTTAAGTCTCCTTGTCCTAAGGAACTTTTTTCCCCACAGTAACAAAAAGCGCAGAGTTGTTCACTGGTAAAAATGTGAAGACAAACAGAAAAGTAGCTTTATTCAGCTGCTTAAGTAATTTAAAATTCTGTTCAGAAAAAATTAAGCTTTTGAATTGTATCTTCTATTCTCTAGTCAGTGATTATACTTAAACAATTAAGTTTAATAATAATGATATATTCCCAATCCAATTTTTCCTATTATTTTTAAATAGTAAATATATCAGATCAAATATTTTACTTGTAGGGACCTACACTGTGGCACAGTGGATTAAGCCGGGACCTGCAGCACTGGCAATCCATATGCCAGCATGCCATGTGAGAACTTGTCCAAGTCTTGGCTGCTCCACTTCTGATCCAGCTCCCTGTTAATGTACCTGGGACAGCAGTGGAGGATGGCCCAAGTACTCAGGCCCCTCTACCCATCTGGGAGACCCAGAAGAAGCTCCTGGCCCCTGGGTTTGGCCTGGCCCTGATTTGGCCATTTATTTAAAAATTTTTGTTCCTGTTAAAAAGGGGGGAAAATTTGAAATCTCTGATTAAAGAAAACCAAACAACTATTAACATGTGATCACAAAGTTGTATTTAAAAGACAACAACTGATGGATGGCATACTTAAGTGTAATATATAAGGTTTTTTCCAAATCTTGAAAAATGTAAAGTTTTATCTTTCTTTTCTAAGATTTATGTATTTATTTCTTTAAAAGATTTCCCAAATGGTTGCAATGGCTGGGGCTAGAAAGGGCCAAAGCCAGGAGCCAGAAGATTCGTCCAGATCTCCCACGTGGGTACAGGGACCCAAGCATTTGGGACATCCTCCACTGCTTTCCCAGGCACATTAACAAGCAACTGAATCGGAAGCAGAGCAGCCTGGGCTCGAACTGGCATCCATAGGGGTTGCCAGCAGCAAGCAGTAACTTCACCGCCAACACAACGCCAGCCCCTATATCTTTATTTTCTGCAAAAAAATTTTCAACTACATATAGTTTTTCATAAAATATACTTCTCATAAACTTTTTAAGTGGATATCAAGAAGTTTTGCACAAAAATCAAGTTCTCTTTAAATTTAATTTTCCAAGAATTTTTTTGAAGTTCCTTCGTATATACCATACAGTTTATATAAATAGTTACTGGGCCAGCTGGCACCGCAGCTCACTATGCTAATCCTCCGCCTGCGGCACTGGCACTCCAGGTTCTAGTCCCGGTTGCTCCCAGTCCAGCTCTCTGCTGTGGCACGGGAAGGCAGTGGAGGATGGTCCAAGTGCTAGGGTCCTGCACCCGCATGGGAGACTAGCAGGATGCGCCTGGCTCCTAGCTTTGGATCAGCACAGTGCCAGCAGTAGCAGCCATTTGGGGGGTGAACCAACAGAAGGAAGACCTTTCTCTCTGACTCTCTCTCTCTCACTGTCTGACTCTGCCTGTCAAAAAAAAAAAAGTTACTGGGCCAAGATGAGGGGAGGCAGAAATACTGAATAAGAGGAGGAAAAGAATGAAGCACAGGACATTTTTAAGTCAGTGAAGCCATTTTGTACAATATTATAACAGTTTGTCAAAACCTATAAAACTGAATAAAAAACAAAATACAGTATACATTCATAGAATAGGTATCTCTTTAGCTATATATTCTGTTCACAACATTTACTACTGCTACATCCAATTCTTTTTTCTCAGGTATTAATATTCAACCATTGTCTCTGTATTTACTCCATGAACTTTCACGATAGCTTGTATTACCAGCTAACACAAATAATGTGTAATCTTTCAGGTCAATTGCTTTTAATAAGTTTAACCATATTATATTATCCCTACTAATTAAAATTTTGTTACCGAATGCCGGTTCGAGTCCCTGCTGCTCCACTTCTGATCCACCTCCCTGCTAATGCACCTGGGAAAGCAGCACACGAAGGCCCAAGTGCTTGGGCCCCTGCACCCACATGACAGACCCAGAAGAAGTTCCTAGCTCCTGGCTTCAGACAGGCCCAATTGTAGTCATTGTGGGCATTCGAGAAATGAACCAGTGGATGGAAGATCTCTCACTCTCTCTTTCAAATAAATAAATCTTATATACTTTTTCTAATGAATCATCTCTTCAATTTCCTAACCTGTGTTACCCAGATAGAATACCATACCAGATAGAATCCATACCATTGCTAGTATCATTATATTCTTATTTATAATTTTCTCCAAGCTAGTAAGTTGACATTTCCCTTAACAAAATCTGTGATTTGTTTCTTCTCCTAAAAACATAAGCCACAATCAAATTGAAATTAGCCTTATTCTAAACAATACTGATTAAAGTAGCACTGATTAAAATATCAAGTAACATTTTTGAAATATTATAGAAAAACTCACTAGCCTTCAATTTTATATACAGGGAGTGGGCATTTGCATAGTGGTTAATATAGCAGTGTTCCACATTACAGTGTTTGGGTTTCATTCCTGGGTCTGACTCTTGACTCCAGCTTCCTGCTAATGCAGACTGTGAGAGGCAGGGATGACACTGTTCATGGATTTCTGCCACCCATGGGGGAAACCCAGATTGTGGCCACAGCCCTGCTGTGGACTCAACCCAGGTCTGGTTATTGCAGGCATTTGTGGAGTAAACTATCAAATGACAGTTCTCTCTGTCCATCTCCTCCCTCTGCCTCTCTGCCTGTCAAATAAATTAAAAAATTTTGAAATACCATCCCAAAGTTTTTGATTTTTCAATTTTAAATTCAGGGGACAAGGGTTTGGCCCAGTAGTTAAGATGCTACTAGAGATAGCCACATGCTATCAGAGGGCCTGAGTTCAGGTCATAGCTACACTTCCAATTCCAGCTTCCTGCTAAAGCACAACCTGGGGAGGAACAGGTGATGGCTCAAGTAGCTGGCTCCCTGCTACACACACTGGAGACCTTCCCTGAGTTCCAGGCTCCTGGCTTTGCCCTGGCCCAGCACCAGCTACTGAGGAATTTGAGAAGATCTCCGTCTCTGTTTCTCTTTCGCTACCTTTCAAACAAATGAAAATAAACAAATTTCTATCCCTCTAACTGAAACTGTATTAACATTCTTATAAGACCTCAGAAATTTCACCTCTCATAAAAATCTAGATGGCATTGCAAGCTCCTGGCTTTGTTGAGCCCTGGCAGTTGTGGGCGTCTGGGGAGGGAACCAGTGCATGGAAGATCTCTCTCAATATTGCTTTCTGCTTTTTCAAGTAAGTAAATAAATGAATAAATCCTTTATTTTACGGACACAAAAGTAATTCTAATCTACTCACAAGATGGTCTCCAGGTACCTCCCGAGGTTCTCAAGTACAACCAATAAAGAAAAACCATCCATACAACAACTGAAAAAACATTTTAAAAGATGACAAACTAAATACTTAATATTAGTAAAATTGCCATTATAATAAATACAAACAGGGGGTGGCGGCATGGCTTAGCAGGTTAAGCTGTCCCCTGGGACATTTGCATCCCACTTGGGCATCGTTGGTTCATGTACTGGCTGTTCCGTTTTTGATCCAGCTCCTTCCTAATATGCCTGAGAAAGGCAATGGAGGATGGCAAAAGTGTTTGGGTCCTTGCTAACCACATGGGAGAAAAGAGACACCTGGCCGGTGGCTTCGGCACAGCCCAGGCTGGCCTAGCCCAACAGTTGCACTTGAACCAGCTGACAGAAGATCTCTCTGTATGCTTCTCACCCTCTCTCTCTGTAACTCTGCCTTTCAAATAAATAAATCTTTTTAAAAAATATATAATTTCTGGCATTTAACCATAATTAGGCACAAAAAACTGAAAACAAAAAGAGACAAGTAATATTAATGGGAGAGGAGTGAAAAAGATACCAAGCAAATATGAAGCAAAACAAAGTCTGAGTGGCTATATTATCATACCAATGCAAGTGAAAAAAAAATAACTATACTAGAGACAGTAAGAGATATACAAAATTACTACAAAAAAGTAGAAAGCAAAAAATGGAATCAGTAAAATCAGATACACGACTAGTATCACCGATGATAATCTCTGAAAATAATGCAGAGAAAGCTGAAAAATACAAATGAATAATTTAAAATTACCTAAATATTTGGAAACTAAAGGGGGCTGGTGCTGTGGCTCAGCGGGTTAACACCCTGGCCTGAAGCACCAGCATCCCATATGGGCGCCAGTTCTAGTCATGGCTGCTCCTCTTCCAATCCAGCTCTCTGCTTTGGCCTGGGAAAGCAGTAGAAGATGGCCCAAGTCCTTGGGCCCCTACACCCGCGTGAGAGACCTGGAAGAAGTTCCCAGCTCCTGGCTTCGGATCAGCGCAGCTCCAGCAGTTGCGGCCAACTGGGGAATGAACCAGTGCATGGAAGACCCCACCACCACCACCAACCGCCGTCTCTCTTCTCTGTGTAACTCTGACTTTCAAATAAATAAATAAATAAATCTTTAAAAAAATCTATTTGGAAACTAAAAAGAAGAAACCCTTGGTTGACATGGGAATTATAACATTTTTAACAGAATGATACCAACAACATTAAATACAAACATGAGGGATGCAGCTACTGTGGTTAATTGAAGGGGAGCTCACAAGTTTACACAGATTATCAGTAAATTTAAAAGTTTATAATAAATGAGGTAGGCATTCAACTAAAGCAGTTGGGAAAGAAATGTCAAGTCTGTTAGAAAGATGAATAGTAAGAAAAATCACAGAAATCACTGAACGAGACAAAATAATAGAAAAGAATGAAATACCTAGTGAATAAAATGAGGAAAATTCATAAAAAAAAAAAGAGAGAGAAAAATAACACCCATTCTCACCACTTCTTTTCAAAACAGTACTAGAATTCCCAGCCACTGCCATTAGGCAAGAGAAAGAAATTAAAGCCAACCTAAACATGATTTTTAAAAAAGGAGTGGATCTATCTCTATTTTCTGATATGATAACCCGATCTTACATAGAAAACCCTAAAGATTGTCAGAAAAAAAAAATTATTGGAACTGATTTACAAATTCAATAAAGTAAAATTATTGGAACTGATTTACAAATTCAATAAAGCAGCAGGATATAGAACCAACATCCAAAAATCAGTATTTTTCTATATATGAATAAAAACTACCTGAAAAAGGAAAACAAGAAAACAACCCCATTTACAATAATAACAAAATTACCTAGGTGCAAATTTAACCAAGATCTATATACAAAGAACAATAAAACACTGATGAAAGAACTGAAGATAACACAAATGGAAAGATATTTCAGTATCTATTTATTGGAAGAATTAATGTGAACATGTTCATAATAACTAAAACAATGTAGAGTCTGGAGTTCAGGGAAAGACAAGCACTGAAAATCTAAATGCAGAGCTCCTAAGGATTTACAGCTACCAGGTTGAATGAGCTGAACCACAGAGTGCAATGGAGACAGAAGTAAGAAAGCTGAGGACTCAGCCTAGAATACAATGTTACAAAGGGTGAAAATCTCCTGAGAAAGCAGTAGAAGACCAAAGGAAGAGTGAGGTGTACCAAAAGCAAAAAGGAATATACTTCAAGAAGATGGAAATACTCAACTTACAAATAATGTTAAGATTTTATTCTTGTCTGTCAAATAAAGTCTAAAAACTACAAGATGTCAAAGCTGATATACGCACTGATAGGTTATAATGTTCTCTATGAAAGTTCAAAAAGTTTGTGGAGGGTCCAGTGTAGTGGGTTAACGCCCTGGGCTTCAATGCCAACATCTCATATGGGTGCCAGTTCGAGACCAGGCTGTTCCAGTTCCGATCCAGCTCTCTGTTATGGCCTGGGAAAGCAGTAGAAGATGCCCCAAGACCTTGGGCCCCTGTACCCACTTGGGAGACCCAGAAGATGCTCCTGGCTCCTGGCTTCAGACTGGTGCAGCTGCGGCCATTGCGGCCAATTGGGGAGTGAACCATTGGATAGAAGACATCTCTCTCTCTCTCTCTCTCTCTCTCTCTCTCTCTCTCTCTCTGTAACTCTGACTTTCAAATAAATAAATAAATCTTAAAAAAGAAGAAGAAGATGATGCTCTCGTGATACCTGCAGCCCCTGTCAGAGGCTCCAGCCCATCTCTGCTTCAGATCCAACTTCCTGCTAAGGCACACCCTAGGAGGTAGCAGGTGATGATTCAAGAACTTAGGTCCCATCAACCACATTGGACTCTTGGATACAGGTCCAGGTTGCTGGTTTCACCCTGGCCCAGATCCAGCTGTTGTGGGCATTTGGGGAGTAAAGGTTGATGAAATATCTCTGTTTCTGTCTTTTTTGGTATTTGTCTTACAAATAAAATGAAAATAAATATAAAAAGGAAAATTTTATTCTCCTGCAAAATTGTTTTAAATGCAGGGCCAGTGCTGTAGTATAGGAGGTTAATCCTCCACCTGTGGTGCCAGCATCCCATATGGGCACCGATTTAAGTCCTGGCTACTTTACTTCCGATCCAGCTCCCTGCTAATGTGCCTGGGAAAACAAAGGAAGATAGCCCAAGTGCTTGGACCGCTGCACCCAGGTGGGAGACCTAGAAGACGCTCCTGGCTCTTGGCTTCCGCCTGGCCCAGCCCTGGCCATTTTGAATATTTGGAGTGAACCACTGGATGGAAGCTCTCTTCTCTTTCTCTCTTTCTCCCTCTCTGTCTGCTTCTTAAAAATTTTTAAAGTATGGTTTTTCATAACACATATTTTCCCTTAACATTCCAATGATCTCAGACATTTATTTTCTTAAACAATGTAGGAGATATGGAACAAAGAATATAAACATAAGTTTATAAGAAACAGCATACTGGTAACAGTTCTATATTGGTATGGGACAACCAAACCAAGCCCACAAATACACTGCACTAACTACATGCAAAAGTACCAGCCTCAAATTTAAAGCACCAAATTATAATATTCCATTCATATTCCATATATAACATTACATAAAGATATATAACATTCCATCATATTCCTTGAATTTTCTCTGCATTCAATTCACTGCCCCTTTTCCTGTCTTTAATCTGTATTGCACTGCATTTATTCTCTGACCTGATTTTGGCTTCTACACCAACAGAGACCAGGGAGTTTGCAGATTCCTCGGACATAGGTCGTTGAAGAGCTGTGACTGGCTGCTTGCTGTTATCCACTTCTGCTTCAGCATCCTCTTCTGCAGACTGTTCTTTGATTTCTGCTAAATAGTGAGCAAAGGAACCCAGTTATTTTTGTGCTTATACTAATCACTGATGAGTCTACCTATAACACATACATTATAGAGAAAAAGGAATCAGACAACAAATGCTAACACTTCACTCTAAAGGAAAAGATTGTGTGTTATTAGTGGCACTGTTTATGCTTATTCTCTAATGCAAAATGATAATCGAAATAATATAACAGGCTTTTCTTTGTGCCCAAATTAGAATTGACTCAAAAGTTCCACCCTAGTAATAACTATTAAGTATCTTATTTTAAAGATTTATAGCAACTGATATATAGAACAAATGCATGGGAGTCTTCAAAAAGTTCACAGAAAATGTGTTACGAAAAATTATGCATGAGTTTGAATTGGGGGCGGGGGGCACTAAAATAAATCTGTTCTCACTGGTTATATTTGAAAGTCATGGCTGGCGCCTCAACTCAATAGGCTAATCCTCCACCTGCCCCAGCAGCACACTGGGTTCTAGTCCCGGTAGGGGCGCCAGATTCTGTCCCGGTTGCCCCTCTTCCAGGCCAGCTCTCAGCTATGGCCTGGGAGTACAGTGGAGGATGGCCCAAGTGCTTGGGCTCTGCACCCGCATGGGAGACCAGGAGAGGCACCTGGCTCCTGGCTTCTTCGGATTACCGCGGTGCACTGGCCACAGCAGCCATTGTGGGGTGAACCAACAGCAAAAGGAAGACCTTTCTCTCTATCTCTGTCTCTCACACTATCCACTCTGCCTGTCAAAAAAAAAAAAGAAAAAAGAAAAAAAAAAAAAGAAAATCATGTAGTTTGCAGTATTAATAAGGGTATAATACCAGTTTTGAAAAGGGCCAGTATCAGAACAACATGAATTCTTCTGACATTGAAGCAAAATCAAACATCAAATTCATGGTGAAGCTTGGGTGGAACAACAGGGAGAACACTGATGCTTTACAAAAAGTTCACAGGAAGAATAAGACTCCTCCCTAAAGAAATCACCAGTTTACAAACGGGTAACTCATTCTAAGAAGGGATGAGAAGTTTTTTAAGATGAAGCCTGGGAGCAGGCATTTGGTTTTGCCCTTAGAGACCAATTGAGATACCCAAACACTCCATCAAGGGCCTAGGATCCATTGCCAGCTCCACTGCCAGTTCTAGGTTCCTGCTATTGCACACTCTGGGAAGCAGCATCTGATGGCTGTAGTAATTCTGTCCCTGTCATTCATGAGGAGGACCTGGATGGAGCTCTGGTTCCCATCGTTCACCTGGCCTATCCTTGGTTGATGCAGAAATTTCAGAAGTGAATCAGTAAAAGGGCACTGGTTCTGTCTCTCAAGTAAAATAAGTTTAAAAATTTTTTGGAAAAATGAAGCCTGCAGCAGAACATCCATATCAATTTGAACTGAAAATCTTGTTTGTGCCCAAATTGAAGAGGACCAACAGCAAACAACAGAAACAATAGCCAACATCACTGACATTTCAATTGGTTTAAAATACACAATAACGACTGAAAAATTAAAGCTGAACAAACTTAAAACTGCTGGACCCAGTTCTGTGATTTTTCAAACTGGAATCAAGATCATGAAACATTTCTTTGAAAAGCTATAACAGAGACCATATATGGCTTTACCAGAACAATTCCGAAGACAAAGCACAATCAAAGCAATGGCTACTAAGAGGTAGAAGTGGTCCCATCAAAGCTAAAGAAGACCACTCAACAGCAAAGGTCATAGCCACATTGTTTTGGAATTCTCAAGGCATTTTGCTTGTTGACTTTCTGAAATGTAAAAGAACAATAACATCTGCTTATTAGGAGTTTTTTTTAGAAAGATAACCAAAATTTTAGCAGAAAAACACCCAAGAAAGCTTCACCAGAGTCCTCTACCACAACAACAGCAAGGTTGTTTTGCAAGGGTTTCCATAGAAAATCATTAGAGATCCACCTCCCAGTCCTGACTCACCACCTTGTGACGTTCTTCACTAATCTTCACTAATCTTTTTTTTTTTTTTTTTTTTTGACAGGCAGAGTGGACAGTGAGAGAGAAAGACAGAGAGAAAGGTCTTCCTTTGCCGTTGGTTCACCCTCCAATGGCCGCCGTGGCCGGCGCACCGCGCTGATCCGATGGCAGGAGCCAGGAGCCAGGTGCTTTTTCCTGGTCTCCCACGGGGTGCAGGGCCCAAGCACCTGGGCCATCCTCCACTGCACTCCCTGGCCACAGCAGAGAGCTGGCCTGGAAGAGGGGCAACTGGGACAGAATCCGGCGCCCCGACCGGGACTAGAACCCGGTGTGCTGGCGCCGCTAGGCGGAGGATTAGCCTAGTGAGCTGCGGCGCCGGCCATCTTCACTAATCTTAAAAATCCTTAGAATGGGGGCCGGCACTGTGGCGAAGCAGGCAAAAAGCTGCCGCCTGCAGTGCCAGCATCCCAGATGAGTGCCTGTTCAAGACCCTCCACTTCCAATCCAGTTCTCTGCTATGGCCTGGGAAAGCAGTGGAGGATGGCCCCAAGTCCTTGGGCCCCTGCACTGGCATGAGAGACCCGGAAGAAGCTCCTGGCTTTAGATTAGTGCAGCTCCGGCCATTGTGGTCAACTGGGGAGTGAACCAGCGGATGGAAGAACCCCCCCCCCCCTTTTCTCTCTCCCTCCCCCCCTCCCCACTTCTCTCTCTGTGTGTACCTCCGACTTTCAAATAAATAACAAATAAATCTTTAAAAAAAAAAAAAAAACTTAGAATGGCACCCATTTTTCTCCAGTTAATAATTTGAAAAAAGACTACTGACAAGGTTAAATTCCCAAACTCTGAATTGTTTTGGGATGGATGAATGGCTACTATTGTCACTTACAACAATGTACTTTTTGAGATATTTATTTGAAATGTAGAGTAACAGGGTGGTGGAGAGGGAGGGCAAAGGAAGAGGAGATACCTTCCATCCACTGGTTCCATTTATGAAATGCCTGCAACAGCAGGTGCTGGGCCAGGTCCAAGCTAGGATCCCACATGGGTGGCAGAGACCCAAATACTAGAGTCATTATCTGCTGCCTTCCAGACACATTAGCAGGAAGCTGGATGGGAAGCACAAGAGCCCAAACCTGAACCAGCACACGGATACAAGATGGTGGCAACACAAGCAGTAGCTTTGGCACACTTAGCTACTTACTGTGTCACAATGCCTGCCCCAAGTGTACATTACCTTAAAAACTGCATAATGGTCTGGCACTGTGGCGGAGCATATAAAGCCACCACCTGCAGTGCCAGCATCCCATATGGGTGCCTGTTCAAGTCCCAGCTGCTCCACTTCTGATCCAGCTCTCTGCTACAGCCTGGGAAAGCAGTGGAAGATGGTTTTTTGTTTTTTTTTTTTGTTTTTTTTTTTTTTTTAATTTCATAAGGCACCAAAGTTGTAGTGTGGCAGGTAAAGCTGACACCTGCAATGATGGCATCCCATATGGGCACTACTTCATGTCCCAGCTGCTTCATTTCCAATCCAGCTCTCTGCTAATGGCCTGGGAAAGGCAGCAGATAATGGCCTAGTTATCCAGGCCCCTGCCACCCATGTGGAAGACCTGGATGAAGCGCTTGCTCCCGGCTTTAGCCTGGCCAAGCCCTGGCCACTGCAACAGCCATCTAGGTACTGAACCAGTGGATGGAAGATCTCAATCTCTGCCTCATCCTAATTCTTTCAAAATAAAGAAATCAATCTTTAAAAAAAAAAAAAAAAAAAACTATGGATTTCAAAATTTTTGTGCCAACATAAACTTTTAATTTTGTTTTTCCACAAACTATTTAAATTCCCTTCTCTATACTTTCCCAGGAGAAACTTACTTGCTGATAATTTTTAAACACCATTATTCGTAAAATCATTCTCCTTTTCTATTAAAAATGACATATCCACTCTTTCATATTTTATTACTAGATTAAAAAGACATTACACCAGGGCCAGTGCTGTGGCACAGTAGGCTAAGCCTCTGCTTGTGGTGCCAGTATCCCATATGGGTGCCTGTTTGCAACCCAGCTGCTCCTCTTCCCATCCAATTCTCTGCTTAGGGCCCAGGAAAGCAGCGAAAGATGACTCAAGTGCTTAGGCCCCTGCACCTGCATGGGAGACCCGGGGAAAACTCCTGGCTCCTGTCTTAGAATCGGCTCAGCTTTGGCCACTGTGTCCATTTGGGGAGTTAAGTAGGAGATGGAAGACATCTCCTCCCTCTCTCTCTCTCTCTCTCTAACTCTACCCTCTCAAAGAAATAAATAAAATCTTAAAAAAAATTTACACCTCCACAAGTGGTCATGATACAATTCCACCACTTGGTGGGAACCTTCTTTTCTAACTTGAGAGTTATTTTGAACTTTTTTCATTAACCCATTGGAAAAAAAAAAAAAAAAAAATCTTGCAGTCCTGAAGCTCCTCCCTTCCACCATGAAACTTCACAAAATGACAGAATGGAGTGACTGAACTCTATCATCTTCCCCTCAACTGAACTTTGTTAATATGCACTCATAATACTGTGACAATTATTCTCAACAACACTATCAATGGCAACAGAACTAAAAATCCAGAGACCATTATCAGGACTTCTACCATCCAAATATTTCTGTTCACACCAGGACCATCTTCCCCTTGGTGAAATGTTCTTCCACCTTTTATATGCATGTAGACATAGATCAATACAGTCTTTGGAGTTATAATGGATAAATATGCAGACTTTGGAGTCATAAAGATCTTATTTTCCAAGTATCAGTTCTCCCATCTACTAACCACCCAATAATATGTAAAGGTCATCTCTCTTTTTCTCATCTATAAAATGAGAAAACTACCATATATCTCATGAGACTGCCACTGAAGACTAAATGGTGTAGTAAATAAGTAGATAGATACAAAGAATATATGACCAGAAATGACTGCAACTTTTCCATCACCTAAAAGGAAACTATTTGTTCTAGACGAAGTTATGCTCCCCATTTCCTACGGACTGGAATGGACATGACAGCCACCTAGCTAGAATGATGCCTGTGAAG